CACCAGCTTTGCTCCCTTCAGGGTCTGTGTGGTCCTAGGAGCTAAAAGCCAGCGACCCCAATTCTCCAGCAATGCCCCACTGGATGCCATCTTGTGTAACAAGGCAGCGAGTATGGATTTCAAGTGAAGGTCCAGAGTGGGCTTGTTTCTAGATAACTGCATTGAGCTGAGCCCACAGAGAAAGCAGCACCAGCCTTGCATCGTGCAGGGTCTGTGTGGTCCCTGGAGCTGACAGTCCCAGATCTCTGCTGGTGCTCCTAACAATGCCATCTTGCGCAGACAGGCAAGGGCTCAGAGTATTAATAAACTGCAGGAGGAGCAGTGGTAAACTACGCATACACTAAATCAGTAGCTCTCAGATGTCAGTGTCACAGGACTAGGCACTGTTAGACAGAAGGGACAACAACTGAGCTGCCCAAGCGCTAAGCTGCTAACAAAATTACTTCCACCTTAGAGCATTGCACAGGCTCCACAAATAAATAAATACATATATATATAAATAAATAAATAAATAAATAACAAAACAGCCCCATCATGGCACACTACCAACTCCACCCAAAATAACTCCAGGCACACAGACATACTGGTCAGCAGGTGTCAACAAGGTCAGTGCTGCCAACAAGATCAGTGCCACTGAAAAAGCAATTATTCAGGATAACTGGTGTTTTCCAAATCCAGGGCACGGATTGAACACAGAAATCAACTCATAGACCTGCAGGTAATACACCTTAGAAATCTGCACTAAGAAGAATCTGCCAAACAGTATGGCAATGACAACAGGTAAAAGACAGAGGCACTGTGAATGTTACTGAAGACTCTCCAGCAAAGGAGCAAAAGCCTTGACCACCTTCAGAGTTAACTGAGGAAGACATCGAGAAAATAGGGGACACAGAATTTAGAAAACTCGTTATAAAGCTTCTGATCAACAATGAGAAGTGCATACAAGAGTTCAAAGAATTTAAGGAATACATTACACTGGAAATAGCAGTAATGAATCGAATAAAGGCTGATGTATTAGAAATTAAAAAAACAGTGGAGAAATTAAAAGTACAGTAGAGAGTCACAATGTGTGGCTTCCTTGGCCCCATACATGGTTCAAAGAAACCACCTGTACATTTTGAATCATGCAGCCTTTATTAAGGTTAGTGGTATTTGCTATTTAATTACATATGGCTTAATATGTCTTTTCAAATCTTACACTGTTTCCACAGGAAAATAGTACTAACTTTATAACCTATGGGTGCCAACCAAATTTGTTCTGGAGGTCCTCAGATCTAATGGCCAGCAGACCCACTAGTGCCATGTCAGGTTCCATTTTGTACACTGTGGCAAAGGCTGTGGCACTGCAGGGACAACAGCAAGCTGCATATTCATTAAGTTGGAAGAGTGATAGCAGTGCTGTGGATTCCAGTCCAGCCAAATGATGAGTGGAGAGGAACCCTGGGAGCAAGCATACAAAATCCTCTCTTTCATACTACACTGCACCCAACACGCACTTGGCCTCATTTTCACTACTGCTGCTTCCATCATGGCCACGGTGGCTGCCACTGCCTATGCTGTCCCTGACTCAGACTATCTGGACTGCAAAAAACATAAATAGTAAAATCATGCTAACCATCTTTGCCTTTGGAACTCAAATTAGGCCAATTTACTTATAGACCACCATCCGTAGCTCTCCAACAGAAATTGGACTTCAGTCAATGGCAGTCAGCATTGTTGTGACAGGCATTCTGCCTGCAGTGTGATGCAAGAACAGATGGTGTTCATGTGTTAAATTTTGTCCTTCAATGTCTGTTCCAACATCTTAGGGTGACAAAATAAAAAGTCACCCTTTTGGTGGAAGCCTTGGTGGCAGAATTTGTTCCAAGAGCAGAAGGGGAGATGGATCTCTCCCACAGATTCCTGCCTACTTTGGATTATGTGGGAGAGCCTAGGCTATTAACACACCATGTCCCTGGGGAACCCCATGACAATGGTTTTGGAGAAGCAAGACCTGAATCTGGTCTAATCACTGTCCTTACATGTGTGAGCAGTGGGATGCACCTCAGTCTCTCTTCTGTGTCCTTGGATGAGCTGTGCTGGGACTTCCTTGATAAGTAACTCTGAAAAGTCAGATGTAGTTCGCATTACCTGCCAGCCCACCTGGTATATGTGACATACATGCTACTTGCCAGTTGTGAGTGTTGTAGATCACCTGTGACATGAATGGAGGGTCCAGAGCTATAGATGTGCCTTCTAGCCAATTACAGTGTCATTGTTGCATGGGAAGACTGTTGGGTAATGCCTATCTGCCTTCTCCTTTCTTAGGCTATATAAGAGTGTGCTTGCCTTACAACAGACAGACATGCCCAATCATACTATCTCCAGTGGCTCTTGCGGCTGCTGAATACCATTGCATTACCCTCTGATGGTTGCAGGACCCTGCCACTCAGGAAATCCCCAAACCTATAGGAGGCCAAGTTGGCACTGTTTCCACGTGGCAGCCTTCCATTTAGTTGCCTTCCAACTTAGTGAATATGCAGCTTGCTGTTGTCCCTGCAGTGCCACAGCCTTTGCCACAGTGTACAAAATGGAACCTGACATGGCACTAGTGGGTCTGCTGGCCATTAGATCTGAGGACCTCCAGAACAAATTTGGTTGGAACCCATAGGTTATAAAGTTAGTACTATTTTCCTGTGGAAACAGTGTAATGCCCTGACCTAGAACTGAGTTTTCTCCTGGCTTAGGACATGCACAGCATGCTTGTCACTCCAGTCTTTCAGCTTTGCCACAGTGCACGAAACAGCACCTGATGCGGCACTGATGCGTTCTGGGTCTGTTAGCCATTAGGCCTGGATTTATTTTTGTTGGAGCCTGTAGGATGCCAAGTCACTGTACCCTCATTTTTTTCCTGAGATTCCACTTCCTCCATTATTTTTAGTCCCAATGCCTTCGTGTAGTGCCAATAGTAGTACCTATTCAATAAATGATCATGTGATTCAAAATTTTTAGACCAGACACACAATCAACAGAAGTAACAATTTTTTGAGAGTTCAATTAGTCCTTTACCCGTGTTGTTCAAGTTCCCACTGCCTCTTACTTAAACCTGAAAGTAAATAGATCTTGTCCTCAATGACCATAAAGAAAAAAATCAACCAGGTAATCCTGAGCAAACATATGCAGGGAAATGGAGTTCTGAGGTAATCAATAAGCCAGAAACTAGTTCTATACCCAAATATTTCAGAAATATATCTTACAATTTACCCTGATTAAGTTTATTGGGTATTTGGACACTTAAATCACTCTTCAATGACATAATCCTCATATATTTGATAGTCCCCCTTTAATGCTTAAATTGCAATTTACCTGTTAACAAAGGTTTCTGGGTCTCATCTAAGTTTCTTAAAGCTATAGGAATGGAATTTCATTACTAATGTTATTAACAGTTATTAATGTGCTTTCCTGTAGTTCTCTCAAAACAATGTATCGCTACATCTGTGTGATAGAATAATGAGCAGACATAAATGTAGGGTGGACTTTCTGTCTAATCTTAAGAACCTCTATTTTCTTATAGGTAGAATTAGGTTTTTATGTCTCACCCTAATTCATAAGATTAGGAAAGAAACTGAGCATACTTGGAATCAAATAGTATAAAATATTTTGCTAAATGTTCCTATGTATTGATGTTAGTTTGATAAATCACAGTATAAGCCTTGTGTGATCTTCCCAGGCAACCGTACTCTCTGCTGACGTATTTTGATCTAGTTGTAGAATCAGTCTTATAAAATGTTATACTTAAATCTCTTCTTTTCACTAGCTTCTTTACTAATTTAATAGAATTGTTCTTGAAAGGACAAAGCAATCCCATCTCCCAGAGATTTTTCCCCGGTTACTATATAATACATTCCACATAATACTGCCCGTTGACTATAAAGAAAAGGAAAGCTTAGGATAATGACATAGATTGATAGATCTCATGCCAATATTCTCCAATCTGTAGAAACATATTTATTGGAGTAACTTTGTAATTGTTTTATCTTTGTAATGTTGAAATAAAGTAATTGTTATCAAATTCCTCATAGAAATAGTAAATAATTTGCCAATGAAGTAATACTCACTTAATAATCCAAAATATGCATCGGTTTTTCTGCTGAGTGTCAGAAAATCAGTACAGAGTAATAAAGATTCAGACAGTACAATTGTGTGGATGGCAGTAGAATTTATACAGCCAGGGCCTAGGGCAGTAGGGTGGCCAGGGTAAGTTAGATAAATTCCATGATGTAAAATGCAGTAAATAATTTGAATATTCACATAAGCTAGTAGGGAACAATTACAAAAATGCTGTTCAGGAAGAAAGTATCTTTTTGTATGTGACATTGTGCTGATATAAGAACCTTAAAATTCCATTGGATCCAGGGACAATTTCAAAAAAAAAACTGCATCACAACACAATCCAGCAAGCCATCCTCATCCCACACAGGAAGGACAGACATATTCTGCGATACACTGAAATAGCCTCATTCCTCAACTCAATAATGCATGAGATAGTTAGTACATACCCTCACAGAAGCAACATCCAGTCAAAGGAACTTAGCAAGTGCCTATCAGTTGCCCTGTGATTGTCATTTACTCTTTGATGCATTACTTATCTCCAAATACCTCCACTGACAAGTACGCCAATAATGCTCCTGTAGAAGACTTTCATGAAACCTTTTCATTAATGTGTTCATTGGTAAAAGGCAACAATTCCTTGATAAAATTTAAATACATAGGCTCCAGCAATGTGCAGACATTTTTGTTCAGTAAGATAAAAATTTATTCTTACTGACCAATATCAATTTCCTTGGTGATTCCTTAGTAGAAAGTGCTCCTAATTCAATGAAAACTTAAATGTTTTGGGTTCCACTGTGCCAAGAATATTTGTGTGCAGGTACACAGACACACACACACACACACACACACACACACACACACACACACACACAATCAACCTTGTTTTCAGAAAAAAAAAATATTTTTACCTTTGTCTGATCTGCTTTGAAATTTTAGGCAATATGGGCTTTTTGTGCAGAAATATTTCAGGATATTGCTTCATAAATGTGTTGTGAGCAGATACAATATTGCAAGAACTGTGGCTTTAAGAAAAAGAAAAAACAAAATATGTCTTGTTGAATAATTAAGCTTCCAAAGGGTACATTTTAAACTTAATATATGAACACTGATTCTGTAGCTAGGTTTTTAAGCAGAACCTTAAAACTTTCATTTTTATAATTGAATAAAACTGTTTTGTGGTATGCTTCATAATTAAAATCCTTTTGAAATGATTTAAATATAGTGTATGCATGCACTATGAGAAAGCATATTTATTGGAATCTTTGCAATGATTTACAGAAGTATCATGCACTATTTCTTAGGCTTGGAATAAAAGTGTACTAGATGAAGATATCAGCATTTTCTCAAATCAGTCATCTGGGATGATTTAAGTAAAGGTATTTCATAAACTCCGTAAAAAGGATCTGGATTTGTTTCTCTTTTTAAATATCTTATCCTTTCATCTTCCGCCTGATGGTGCCAACATCCATGAGTGTTGGTTCGTGCTCCAAAGTGCTCCAACTCTGATCCAGCTCCCTGCTTACAAACTGAGAAAGCACCAGAAAATAGCTCAAGTCCTTGGGCCTCTCACCCAAGAGGGGAGATACCTAAAAGAAGCTCCTGACTCCCAGATTCAAACCAGCCCACCTCTGGCCATTGCAGTCATTTGGGGAGTGCATCAGCAGATACAAGATTGTATCTTACTATGCAAAAAAAAGTATATGTATATATATTTATATATATAAATGATGCTTCTATGTACTCAGAGGTTTTGAAGATTTTAATTTTTATTGAAAAGGCAGAAATACAAAGAGAAGAACAAACAGAAAGATTTTTTCATCTTCTGGTTCACTGCCCAAATGTAGCCACAACAGCCAGAGCTGGGAACATCTGAAACCAGCAGCCAGGAGCTTCTTCCAGATCTCCCACGTGGATTTAGGCTGCTAAGATTTTGGACCATCCTCTACTGTTTTCCCAGGCTATAAGCAGGCACCTAAATGGAAAGTGGAATGGAAAGTGGAACAGCCTGGATACAAGTCAGGGCCCCTATGGGATCCTGGTGAATGCTAAACAAGGGTATAGCCACTAGGCTGTTGTGTTGGGTTCTATGCAATCATATTTTATCCAATAAAAATACCAATAAACAAGGCCTGTGGAAATGTAGCCGCTTGCTGTTAAACATTAGTCACCATTTGGGAGGGAAGTCTGCATCATTAATTTTTTTTGGTATTCACTAATTGTACAGTAACCACAGATCATTAAAACTACGACAGATGATATTTTTAATTTTTCTCTTTCATTATACAGTTCCACAGGCTCAGGGATTTCCTCTCTACTCTCCCCTTTACCCCACAGTTTTCTCCCACATAATTACAGCAGCACAATTTTTGAGCAAAGTCACAAGTCCAACATTCTATTTGTATTTGTATTTATTTGTATTTGTATTGCTGTATATGACATTGGAGGCATAGAAATGGCAGAAATCCTAGCATCCTACTGTCAATATATATTTAAGTTTCATTGGGAGGAGGGCATCTTTTCTTCAGAAGTAGAGATGCACACTGCAATGTATCTTCATTTCTTGTTATACTTGCCTTGATTAAACAGTTAATCTAGGTGAATATATACATATATATTTATATATACACATACACATGTTTATCTATCTTTCAGTTGATCTTGTATTTTGATCAGGGTTGGCTTATATCAAAGAGAGTGTATGATATTTTTTTCTTTGGGGATTAGTTTATTTCACTGAGCATGATGATTTCCAGCTTGAATAATTTTGTTGAAAATGGCAGAATTTCATTCTTCTTAATTGCTGAATAGTATTCCATACAGTAGATGTACCACAGCTTCATTATCCACTTCTCTTTGGATGGGCATCTGGGCTGTTTCCATACCTTTGCTATTGTAGATTCCACTGCTATAAATATAGGAGCACAAATCATTCTCTCGTATGTAGATTTCATTTCTTTTGGATATATTCCCTGAAGTGGGATAGCTGGGTCATACAGCAGATCAAGTTTCAGTTCACTTGCCACTCTCAATACTACCTCAAATAGCGGATGTACTAGCCTACACGCCCACCAATGGTACGAGTGGCGAAGTAGGGTACCTTTCTCCACACATCCATGCCAGCAGGTGTTGATAGTACAGTTCTGAATATAGGGCAATCTCATTGGAGTTAGTTGAAACCTCATATTTGTATTTCCTTGACAGCTGGGAGCCTCAGTATTGTTTCATGCTTATTATCCATCTGAATTTGTTCTTTGGGAAAATGCCTGCACATTTTCTTCACCCATTTCTTCACAACTTCATTTGTTCTGCTGTCCTTGAGTTTCTGAAACACTTTGTAAATCCTGTCAGTCTCCTGTTGGTTGTGTAGTGTGAAAAGATTTTTTTTCTCATTGTGTTGGTTGCTTCTTCACTTTGTTGGCCATTGCCTTTGCTATACTGAAGTTTCTTTGTTTAATGTCGTCTCATTTGTTATTTTGGCTTTAACTGTCTATCCTTTGGCTGGCTCTTCTAACAAGTCTTTCCAAATTCCTATACCTTGGAGAATGCTTCCTATGTTTTCTTTTAACAGCTTTATGGTTTTGGGTGGAGATTTAAGTTCTTTATTCATTTAGAGGTGATTTTTATATAAGGTGATATTTGGGGGACTCACTTTTTACTTTTTTGCAGGCTGCTATCCAATTATCCCAGCAACACTAGTTTAAAAGACCAACCATTTCCTGGATTATTTTCAGTTATTTTGTTGAAGATTAATTGGCTGTACACGTGTGGGCTCAGTTAGGGGATTTCTACTCTTTTCCATTGATTTTCTTCTCTGTTTCTGTACCAGTACCAGACTGTCTCACCACTGCCATGTAGCATATCTTGAGGTCTGGATTTGTGATTCGTCCAGCTTGATTTTTATTCTTCAGGATAGCTTTGGATATTCATTTTCTCTTGTGCTTCCAGGTGAACTTTTATATCATCTCTGAGAAAAATGTTGTTGGGATTTTGACTGGCATTGCATTGAATCTGTATGTTAGTTCCTGTATTGTGGATAATTGGATGATGATGTTGATCCTGCTCCAGGAAAATTGAAAGTTTCTCCGTCTTGAAATATTTTCCTCTATTTCATTTTTAACACTGTTCATTAATGTTTTTATAGAAAACATCATTATAATTTTACTAATGTCTTATCATTTTCATCATAATGGTCTTCCACATTGTTGGTTTAGTCTATTCCAAGATGTTTAAAATTCTTCTCCACTGTTTTGAAGGGAACTGAAATTACAAGTTCTTTTTCTTAATATGACCATCAATTTTGTATTCATTGATTCTGTATCCTGCTACCCTTCCAAACTCTCCTTAGGAGGTCAATGGTCTCTTGACGGAATCTTTTGGTTCTCCTACGTAGAGAATCATGTTGTCTGTGAATAGTGATAACTTAAATTCATCAGTTGCAATTTTAATTACTTTCATTTATGTTTCTTGCCTAATAACTCTACTGTGGACTTCCAATAGATAAGTTGAGTGGCAATGGTGAAAGTCGACAACTATGTCTAGTTCCAGATCTTAGTGAAAGGCTTTCAGTCTAATTTAATATGCTGCCTGGGTTAGGTTTTTGCATATTATTTTGTGTAGTAGAATATTCCTATCCTGTTTAAGATTTTTAGCATGACATGGTGTTAGATTTCATCAAATGTCTTCCTGTATCTATTGAGATGATCATATGGTTTTAATTCTTCAGTTTATTGATGTGATGTATCACATTTATTGATGTGCATATGTTAAACAATCCCTGCAGAGATACAGAGATAAATCTCACACACACTAGTAGAGGGATCTGTCTGATGTACTGTTCTCTTGGCTTGTATATTGAGAATTTTTACAACTATGTTCATTATGGATATCAGTCTGTAGTTCTCTTTCTCTGTTGTGTCACTATCCGGCTTTATTTTAAGGTGATGTTGTCTTCATAGAATTTGGAAGGATTGCCTCCTTTTCTACTAATTGGAATACCCTGTGGGGGATTGGAGAATGAATTTCCAAGATGAACTTGGAAGAATTTAGTACTGTAAAATTTAGTAGTGAGGCCTTCTGTTCCAGGATTTTGTTTATGTTTGGTTGGTTGACTGACTGGCAGGAATTTAGTTACTGATGTAATCTCTGTCCTGGTTATTTTTCTATTTAGATTATTAATTACCTCATGATTCCAGATTGCATGCATCCAGAAATCTCCCCATTTCTTCTACAACATCTGATTTGTTGGCATATAGTTGCTTGTTCCATTTCCTGATTATTCTATTTATATCCAGTTTATGTTGTTATGTTTTATTTTCTTCCCTGATTTCATGATTCGTTTCTTGATTCATATCTTTTCCCCCACACTATTTTTTTTATTAGTTAGCCTACTGAAGAATCTGTTTTGTTGAATTTGAAAGTCCAGGCTCTTTGATTTGTTGGTCTTATATGTTGAGCTTCTGGCTTCCTGTTTATTACATCCTTATTTTGGTTATTCCTTTTTTCTGTTAACTTAGGGATTATTCTTCCTTTGTTTTTCTAGCTCCTTCAGATATGCAGTTATCTTATTTACTTGGTATCTTTCTAGTTTCTTGTTACAGGCACTAACGCCCCTGCCTTGATCGTGTCCCACAAGTTTCACATATTGTGTTGATGGCTTAATTCATCTGAAACAATTCTTTTATTTCCTATTTGATTTCACTTGTGAGTCTGACTGGGTTTCTTCTATGTCCACTGACCTTTCTCATTGAGTGTATATTTTTTATATTCCACCAAAGAGAGCTTTGATTATCTTGTCACATCAAGAATTGTTTCTAGTTAAGGCAATTTGAGGTTGTTTGCCCTTACTATATTTGGCTTTCCCTTTCTTTCTCCATGTTATAGAAGTTCTCATTTATTATTCCACCTAATACAAGATTCTCTTTTAACCTAGCTTCTCTTTCTACACCTTCAGGAACGCCCATAATCCTTACATTTGGACTTTTGATGATATCACTGAATTCCAGGTTTTTGACTGTTATAGCAT